AAACTAAGGTAAACATAAAACCAGAAACCAGTCAGTTGCATATAGCAAACCCCAAGTGTACAGTTGCTTCCAAAGTCCACCGCCTCAATTTTGGGATGGCTCGTTGTCTATTCTTGTATTCCACAGATGCAGGGCACATCAAGTTGATTGTGGAGATTTAATCTGCTGCTCCTAAGGCTGCTGGGAGAAATTTCCTTCTCTTCTTTGTTTGCACAGCTCCGGGGGTTCAGCTTTGGATTGGACGCACCTCTCCACGTAGGTCGCCTGAGGGTATCTTTTCTTCGCTCAGACAAGACGGGGTTAAAGGAGCAGCTGACTGGGGGCTCTGGCTCACTCAGGCCGGGGGGAGGGAGGGGTACGGAATGCGGGGTGAGCCTGCGGCTGGCAGAGGCCAGCGTGACGTTTCACCAGCCTGAGGCGCCCTGTGTGTTCTCCCGGGCAAGTTGTCCCTGGATCACAGGGCCCTGGCAGTGGCGGGCTGCACAGTCTCCCAGGAGGGGAGGTGTGGATAGTGACCTGTGCTTGCACACAGGCTTCTTGGTGGCTGCAGTAGCACCCTTAGCGTCTCATGCCCTTCTCTGGGGTCCACGCTGATAGCCACGGCTCGCAGCTGTCTCTGGAGCTTGTCTAGGTGGTGTTCTGAATTCCCTCTCCTTGCACACCCCGAAACAGTGGTCTCTTGCCTCTTAGGCAGGTCCAGAGTTTTTCCCGGACTTCCTCCGGGCTAGCCGTGGTGCACTAACCCCCTTCAGGCTGTGTTCATGCAGCCAACCCCAGTCCTCTCCCTGAGATCTGACCTCCGAAGCCCGAGCCTCAGCTTGCAGCCCCGCCCGCCTCGGCGGGCGAGCACACAAGCCTCGGGCTGGTGAGTGCCGGTCGGCACCGATCCTCTGTGCGGGAATCTCTCCGCTTTGCCCTCCGCGCCCCTGTTGCTGTGCTGTCCTCCGCGGCTGCGAAGCTCCCCCTCCGCCACCCGCAGTCTCCGCCCGCGAAGGGGCTTCCTAGTGTGTGGAGACCTTTCCTCCTTCACAGCTCCCTCCCACTGGTGCAGGTTCTGTCTCTATTCTTTTGTCTTCTCTGTTTTTTCTTTTTTCTTTTTCCCTACCCAGGTACGTGGGGAGTTTCTTGCCTTTTGGGAAGTCTGAGGTCTTCTGCCAGCATTCAGTAGGTGTTCTGTAGGAGTTGTTCCACATGTAGATGTATTTCTGATGTATTTGTGGGGAGGAAGGTGATCTCCGCATCTTACTCCTCTGCCATCTTGAAGGTCTCCCTTCACCCAATTTAGATTTAAGTGATTGCTAAGTGTTCTTCTGTCTCTGCAATCCTATGATTCAGTTCACAAGAGACATCATCTTTAAAGCCTGGGTATAAATTCAGCCATGGTATCTTAAGCCTCTAAAATCTCAGTATCCAGAACACCAAAAACCCTGTTAGCATGCAATGAGAATATTTGTATGTTGGTGACAGAATAGAAAGTTAAGTATAATAAAGTGCTTTTCCTTAAAAGTACATATATGTTTGTTTAATTTCCTTTATGTTCCCAGAATTGCTCCATATCGTGGTGGTTAAGAGGATTATAAAGAGTGGTTATAGAGAAAGATGTAAGCAAAAAGCCCAAAATTCTGTTTCTGAGGGCAGATTATCTTCTTTCTGCCTTACTGGACTATGGACTACAAGTCCAAAGATGTAGTCCAGTAATAATGAAGGACAATTGCATATGTAATAAATTGGAGGGTAGCAATAACGTATTATTTCAGGCTTCTGGCACTATTATTTTCGCAACTCAGCACATTTCCTATCCTTTTCTACTCCTTTAGTGCAGACTGTTTCCTCTCTTCACACAGGGATCATAACAAGAACTAATAGGGGCTTCCCTGGTAGCACAGTGGTTAAGAATCCACCTGCCAATGCAGGGCACACAGGTTCAATCCCTGGTCCGGGAAAATCCCACATGCCATGGAGCAACTATGCCTGTGTGCCACAACTACTGAGCCTGCACTCTAGAGCCTGTGAGCCACAACTACTGAGCCAGGCAACTACTGAAGCCTGCGCACCCTAGGGCCCGTGTGCTGCAACTACTGAACCCGTGTGCTGCAACTACTGAAGCCTGCACACCTAGAGCCCATGCTCTGCAACAAGAGAAGCCACCACAATGAGAAGCCTGTGCACTGCAACGAAGAGTAGCCCCTGCTCACCGCAACTAGAGAAAGCCCGCACACAGCAATGAAGACCCAGCGGAGTCAAAAAAAAAGCTCATAGGGTCCGAGAGCTCCATTCACCTGGCTATTGTGGTTGGTTCAGATATGACACATGACCCAAGCAAGGCCAGTGAGAGCCCTTGTCTAGGACTTTACTATAGTGGAGTCAGTAGGGAAAACTGTTTTTGCTTCTGTGTTCCTGGAACTGGAAGGATATCTGTGTCTCCAGCAGGATAGTGCAGGCTCGCTCACATGGATGTTGTAGGTTTCTAAGAGAGTGAGTGGCGCATGAAGTCCTCTCAAGGCCCACACTAGGCACTGGTACTTCACTACTTCTGCTGCATCCTATTGGCCAGAGTACAAGTCCAGCTCTGACTCAGAGAATGAGGAAATAGTTTCTAGTTTTAATGGGAGGAGTTGGAAGCCAAAGGGAATGAGTATAGGCAGGCATGGAAAAATGGGAGCATAACTCACTTACTAAAAAATTATTATGTACATATACTTCAAAAGTTAAGAAATTTCCTCAAGGTCACATGGCTAATAAGCGTTAGAGACAGGATTTGAGCCTTAATCTTCTGACTGAAAATCTCCCTCTTTCAGCATTTCTCTCTAGTCTTGTTGATTGATCTATGTAGTCCAGATGTCACAACTTAATTAGTTTCTAAAGTCCTATTCTTAGATCACTTTTGAATGACTTGTAAGTTATTATGATGAGTTCTTTATTATAGTAAAGGTATTAACTGTCCATGAATTGGTTTTTCTTGAGCCATACTTATAAGCATTTTTATTCATATTCATATCCACAACAAAAGGAAGTTCATATTTTTATCTTGCATCACAGCTATGATTTGAAATACCAGATGTTATTGTAGGAGAATAGATAAAATAACTTGTAGTATGTAGCAAATTCTTAAATAATACTTAGAGGTAGTGAGGAAACAATGAGTTCAGGCAAGTGGGAAGGTGGAAGATGCTGATAGCTATAAAAAGAGAAGAAGCCTGTCAACAAACAGAAGAAAGAGACAGTGGACCTCAATCCTGTAGGATTCTGAGGAGAGTAGTGGTGGTAGTGGCTGTCATTTAAGCTGAGGAATCTTATAGCCTAGGGTGAAAGGTTCCATGCATATTCCAGGGATAGATCTCTCCAAGGATCCTCAAAAGGATAGGTTATGGGGAGCAGAGACAGGCACACAGAGCCTGGTGTTGCACTCTAAGACTCAGATGCCCCATATTGTGCCTCTACCAAAATAATTTAGCTCAAGCCCTCTGAATGCCTAGCTTAAAAGTCTGGGTATTATAATTCTTCCTCTAGAACAGTCCTAAGGGTGTTGGGGGAAAGGGGTGGCCACATAGGCAACTTTATCTCATGAAATTCAGTGATTAAAATGCACAATTGCTGTGAAGAAAGGAAGATTAGGAAGGTATAGAAACAAGCAGATTGTGGAAAATGAAAGGAGACAACTGTCAGAAACTTTCTTTCTGCAATTGAAGTAAGGGCTTCTCTCAGAAGGTAGCACTAGTGATTAGAACTGAACACTTGTGAACATTTCAGAGATCACTTGGTTTGAGGTAGGATGACTGGAACTCACACCTGGGATACAGACATGAGAAAGGGAGTGTTCAAATGGTTCAAATGAGACAGGAGTAGGTGAAGGAGGACAAGTAAGAGGACATCTCTGGATTGGTGAGAAAAGCAGATGGTTTTATGCCTTAGAAACTGGCTAGTAGGGGAAAAGATCATATATATAGTTTTTAAACATCATAGTAGCCTGTATGTTCACCTTTTTTTCATTACATTGGTAAGCATGCCAATTTAATACAAGAATAGGTTCTGATTTTAGAATCTGGTGGTCAGGAAATGATGGGGTATCAAAAGAACTAGCATATTCTCCTCGGAGCGAACAAGACAGGGATTACACTCTCCCTGATGAGCTTTCTAAGTGATTTATTTTAAGGAGGTTTGTGCATTCTGTGTTTAGAAGCACAGAGAACCTTGGAATGGAGAATCAGTTTTCCCTCTTGTCTGTTAGTCTGCATTCTGGCACTGGATGACTCTGCCTAAGTCAGAGAAATTTGGCCTGCAGTTAAGGCTGGATCCCAGGGCTGTGGGACCTGACGTTCCTGTACCCCAGGTCTGAGATTTTGTCTGTATCAGATTGTCATCTGATTGCGGACTCTTTCCCTT